AAACTTGCCACACTGAAGGGAATTGTAATGCGGTCTGATGATCAGAATGGCTGGCAACATTTATGGGCATAACTGTTGCGTAGACTGTCCATCTGAATCTTTTCAAACTTGTTTCGACAATGCGGCTTGAAAGGGAACAAGCAGTACTGAACCTGGCATTACTTTTCTGCCGAGTTACGTGTATGTTGCAGGGTTCACAGGGCGAGTAATCATAAACCGGAATTACACACGTGATCCCATCTTCTACGTATGGGGTTTGAATTCATCGGATCAGCAAACTGTAATGATGAAGATTATCGGAAGTGTTAACGCAGAAGGTGTTCTCGTGAGTTCCCAACTTGTAATAATTTATCTGCAGTTTCACTACGGTTATAGTGAAAAAAGGGAGTGAGATATTGTACCTGATCGCTTTCGGATGTGGTAGAATCCCATTTTGTAAGAGATGGATCGAGTTCGGTAGTCATTGGTAATGCTTTATTTTATAGATGGATAGTGTACAGCCAGATTCGGTGCTTTGGAGGTCTCACGGTGGAACAAAACCGCTTAATCGTCCCCTTTGTGATTATAACGGGTGAGTTCAACATAAAGATAAAGTCTTGAAGCGTTAAGCGTCCCTCCCGTCTGAGGGATGCGCCCACGCATTCAACCTCCATTCAGAATCGTAGTGGCGTAATGAGTGCGTATGTGGCCTATACAATGACTTGCGGTGGTCAGCCGATGTACAAGTCAGTGCTTTTATCCTCCCAGACGAGTCTGGTACCAATTAACCCTTTTACGACAATGCAGATTTCGTTGTGCAGCGCCCATCCCATCAAGACACCCCCTGCTTTCTCGCGCGAGTGGCACACACCGATGGGTGGCACTGTCCCAGGCGGAAACTCTTTCACCTGCTCACTGGATTTGGCAATTGGTAGGAAACAAAAAAGTGTGGTGGTTCCCAAAACTGGGTGCCAACATCTCATGCGCCAGTCATAGTGGCACCCACGGTGGGTGCCATTGTCGTCAAAGGGTTAACGGACCCCGGAGGGATGGAATGCCCGGTCTGCCTAGGCGAATATCGATCTGGGATTCGAACCCATGACCGTGTGTGTGATATAGTGCGCCACTTACCACTACAACACCTCCGCCCTGGGTTCAACATACCTTTTCTCAACATAATCATTTTGTTACATTCTTGAATGAAGAAAGTTTTTTAAGAAGAGGCTGTCCATTGTCTTTTGCTGAGCAGTACCTTGCTATCACTTTGGCGTCCGTAGCTGCAGGTGTCCTGCTGATAATCGTTGTCAGTGCTGCTATAGCCTATGTGATTAGGTGAGTTGAAGCACAATTAACTATCTTTCTTCGCGAACCAGAATCGTTTCTCCTATGTCGAATAGGAATAGATTGTTTATGTTACTGTTACTCTATGAAAACTTTGACCTTCAAGCTAAAGCTGTTGTAGATGCTCTATAAAATCCCTTTCGCCTTCGAGCAGACCTGTAAGGGAACGAACCATGGAGGGCAGAGAGATGACCACCGGAAGGTTGTCTCTGGCTCTTATTATCATGACCATTGTACAGTATTCCCTTCGAAATCACTCCGCAAAGTGTCAATCTCTCGAATGTAATAACCCTCACCAATTTTTCCAGGTGAACGTAGACAAAAAAGACTTTCTAGTACAAGCAGAGAATGAATGAGGTGAACTCGGAGTAGGGATATCGGATGCCAGTACGCACGACCGAGTTCGTGCGCCTTTTTTCAATTGTGATGAGCAATCTGGGGATTACATAAGGTTTCCCCAATATCACTGTTCACTCCACATTACTCCATGGTGGAAGACCATCCCTTTTGTCATCTATGGTCTTAAGTGAAGACCATAGATGAAAAAAGGGAGGCTGTTCCACACATGCATGCTACAGCTAATTATTGTGATTTATTGATGAATACATATTATTAGAGCACGACGTCTTGAAGAGGAACGATTGAATAAGTTGTGGCAGATACCATTCCTCTCATTAACAAAAGCTAGTTCAAAAGTAGGTTGTTCACTATTCAGTATAGCTTATTCAGTAGTTAGAGTTAATTTTCCGAAAACCAGCTTGAGAAACTTTTGATTCCAGAGTGGAGCGGCTAGTAGTCGATCATTGCAAAGTACGCTATCAACGAGCACGAAGCTGACTATCGATTCAAAAAAGGTTTATTGACTTATTGCTCATAAAGAAGGGAGTGAGCATTTCTAGTGAAGATGCCATGAATTATAAGATTGGCAGATATAATCTGCGGACTTTTATATCTCGAAGGCACAGTTCACGATGTTTTTGTTGAGAAATTCATATAAGGTTAAAAAAAGAGGTAAACTGGGTTGGACGTTAATGTGTCGACAAGAGTTGTATGGAGGAGGTTTTAAGACGAACTGTCCGAATACATCTGCCATTACCTACAGGTGGCTGTAGTAGCTGCACACGTGCAACTTGTGCGTCCTTGTTCGAACAGTTCGGTCTCTACCACCTCTTCAACGCCGTAGAACTCGTCCGGTTTTTTTTGTGTGTACGTCAGCTGAGCCAATTTTAGTGGCCACTGCTCCCTGTTATTCCACGCGATAGTGTCCCTTACACTATCCTTAAGAGTCCAAGATTTACCCCAGGGAGGAATCTTAGAAACCATTTCAATCCTAAACTGTGCCTCTGAGAAGTGTACCTAACGGACTAATCAAAATAAAAAATCAAAATAAATATGTCCGAATGGAATGCGAAAGAAACAGGAGTAATAATCCTAGACTGTCTAGTAATAGTGCCAGGT